CACCCAGCACCCGGGTCCCCGACTCCCGGGCTCTCTTCCCCAAATCCCCAGGGCTCCTGCTGGGAACTTGCGTCCGGCTCCTCCCTTGGCGCAGAGGTGCTCCATCCCCGCCCACGGAGCTCACCGCTGATGTCTCTGCTCAGCTTCCGTCCGAAGGCAGCCCTGTCCTCTGTGGGCCAGCGGGCCAGGCCCACAGTGGAAAAAATAATGTCCTAGAGAGGACAGAGCTGCCTGGCGGGCCCCAGGGGACAAGTGGCCCCCTGACGGCCACGTCCTCTGAGGCTGACTGCTCTGGACAGAGGGCTCCTGGCTCGTGCATCCTCCTCACTCACAGATCTCCCCGTCCGGCAAGAAACACACGTGTTCCTACTGAAGCACCTGGACGGTGCTTCCAGGTAGGGGGCCCAGTTGGCAAACATACCTCCTTGCCCAAAGCCAGACTAACCTGGACCTGCTGGCCTCTGAAATCCGGGTGTCATCTGGTAAAGACCCTGCCCTATGGCCTTAAGCTTATGTCTTTTCCATTAAAACTATACTCTAACCTCCGAAACCACTTGGGGTAAAACATGGCTCAAAGCATGGACTCAAAAAGGAAAAAAAGGACATGTATGCAGACGTTGTTGGTGAGGTCGCTGGGGACAGCCGACAGGCCTCAGTCCGGTGGTTCTGTGTGAGGCAGCGGCTGGGCCAGGGTGGGGTCTCTGCACGAGGAAAGTTCACCGTGTCCCACCAAGGGGAACCACACCGCCACGGCGTTTGCCCGGCGTCTCGTGAGGACCAGGGCTGCCTTCGCACATCTGACACTCATGTGTCCTCAACGTGTTCAGTTCTCCTAGGGACCCACTGGAGTGGCCACTTGTGACGTCCCCGTACACACACAGGGCAGTCGAATCCCCCGAAGGGTCTGGCATCAGATGGAAGTGTAGCTAGAGGGGTGAGGAGGGAACTAGCAGTGAACTGGCGTGTCCTCGGGAAGTCCCGGCTTGGGGGCACACCTGGCAGCCAGGTGAGAGTGGATAAAGCAGGATAGTAGGCCTCAGGGGGTGCAGAACGATGCCATCTGCTAGTTCTGTCCTGGCCACCCGAAGGAAGGGCTTGTGACCCTAGCGTCCCCATTGTCTGGATCTGAGAGATGGGATCCTGGCCCCTGGGGACATGCATCAGAAATGTGTCCACGGCATTCAGGGCTCGACCAGGCTCAGGCAGTGCTTCTGTGACCCAGGGCCCTCGGCCGGCCTCCTGTCACGGGGGAGAAGGTCAGGAGTGAAAGCCAGGAGCAGCTCTCTGCAGCCATCCGGGGGCTCTGCGGGGCCTCAGCTGGGGAAGACTCTGCGTGAGCGTGGCTCTTGGAGACCTGGGCCAGAGTGCACATCAATGAAGCATGGCTGGTGCCCCCCAGGTGTGCCCCCCAGACGGGGGGATAGGACATCAACTCCACTTCCAGTGAGGCTGGGCCACGAGCTTCCCCGGGGGAGCCCCCCACCCCTACCCTGCCCGGCTGGGTACCCCGAACTGACCTGGAGGCTGGGTGTGCCCCTGCCCCTCCCCAGATCAGGACCCGGGGAGGCACGAGGTGGCTCCGCTGGGGGTCCTGGGCTGGGGTCCTGGCCTGAGGGTGCAGCCACAGGAGAGCCCCCGGGGGTGGAGCACAGTGGCACCCTGTCTGGCCGGGACCCAGGGCCTCTCTGCTCACCTTAGGTCAGGGCTTCTAACCTCTTCAGCGCTCTGGCCGCTCTGGTCGGCTGGTGAAGCCTGTGGACCCCTCAGGGGAATGGCTGTATTTTGATTGACTGATTTCCCAATTCCCCTTGTTTTAAATGCCTAAGATAGGACCTGCAGGCCAGCAGAGGAAACCCACCACGTTAGTGTGCAGGGGCTGCCCTGACAAAGTACCACCGACTGGCTGGAAGCCAGAAACTTGCAGCAAGTCCAGAATCAAGATGCCAGAGGACCCTGCTCTCATCACACCAGGGAAGAGCCTGTCCTGGGCCCGTCTCCTGACTCCTTCAAGTGCCTTGGCCTGAGCAGCAAGGCTCCACTCTTCACCTGCGTTCCCGTGTTGTGTGTGTGTGTGTGTGTGTCCACATTTCCCCTCTAAGGACACTAACCCCTCAGGTGGGGTTAGGGGCCCACCGTACCCTGCTATGACTCATCTTACCTAATTACATCTGCAAAGGGCCAATTTCCAACAAAGGGCCACACACATTCTGAGGCCCTCGGGGTTGGTCAGGACTTCAACAGAGGAGCTGGGGACACTGGGGACACAGTTCAGCCCATATCACCCGTCAAATATTTCAGAAAGCACATTTATAGGATGTATGATAACATCCATGCTTCTGTAGTAACACACCTGTAATGTGATCTGGCGGCCAGTCCAAGGATTACTGTAATTTGGACACAGTAAGGAGTTTGTGATATTTCAAGATATTGACTGTAATGTCATGAAAACATCCAGCGACAAAGTCATGGAGGCTGATGATACCAGGGGGGCACCAGTTGAGTAAAATGCCAGAGGTTCTTGAAAATAAAGGTGTTCTTTCCCACTCAAGGGCACAGACCCGAGTTCGACCCTGAATCCCTGCCGAAGCCCAAAGCCCAAGGTGGCAACACAGCAGTTGAGAATCCGGGGCAGCCGTGTGTCCCTGCTGGAAACTGACCCCAACCACACCTGCCTCGGGGACAGGACCCAACGCTGGCAGGTGTTCTGGCCCCGCTGCTGAAGGGGCAGGGAAACGGGAGGATGCAGGGCCTGGCCACCCCCAAGACCACCTGGGTGTTGCAAAAGGGTTTCCCCCTCCTGCAGGGGAGAGGTGGGCGGAGCCACTGGGGCTGCCCATGCAGTTCCTTTCTTGCTGCACAAAATAGCCACCTGCTGATGACCCAGGAGAACCAGAGGCTCTTTCTGAGCCTCCTCATTAAAGACAAATAATTGCTGCTTACACGGCTGCTTCTCCACCCACCAGGACTTCCAGCCTTGAGGGACGGGCAGGGCTGGTGGGCACAGGCCAGGGGTGGATGGCCTGGGCGGGCCCCTCAGCGGCTCCCCCACGGCGGAAGGGCCTTTGGACGCAGGCAGACGCGGCTGACGAGCCGTGAGGAGGGACCCTCGGGGCCCCTTCCTGGCCTTGGGAGATGCTGGCTCCCAGGAAGGCTCACGGGGTGCTGAAGGTCCAAGTGGCCTGACCATTGGCCTCAGGGGCTATAACTCACGAGGACTCTGCAGGCCCCCTTGGGACAAGGTCCCCAGGGGTTTCTTACCCCACCACTGCCGGGGCTCGCTGCCCAAAGCCCCCTCCCAGATGCGGCCTGGGTCCTGGGGGCGTGCTCCAAGGAACGCAGAATGGGGCGTGCTGGCCAGTGACTGGGTGCACACCCCACCTCCTCCACTGCAATGACAGCGGCCATTCCCACCACGGGCAAGGCTCTCCAGGTGCCCCGCAGGGCGTTTAGTGCTCCCCGGAACCTGACGTCATCTCCTCGTGAACCCCGCCGCCACTGAACCAGACGCACACGCAGGAGCGCGCACACCTGCGCCCAGCACATTCTGGCCTCTGTGGCCTCTGCCCTCCTCCTACCAGGGGAGCCCCTGGGGCTGGAGCCTGTTTCCTCACCAGCAGGAGGGACAAGAGTGCCCACCTCCTGGGTCACCGTGCAGATTCCTGGGGGCAGTCTCGCGAAGCACCGGCCGGCGGCCTCCCAGAGGCTGGTCCGCACACAGCGCCGGAGCCTGCACGTGCCACCGGGCCAGCCCCAGGGGGGAAGCAGGCTGGTGCGGTCTCCTCTGAAGTCCAGGTCAGGGGGCAGGTGGGGAGGCTGCTCCGTCCTTCACCACCCACCGCCCTGTAGAGGTCAGCTGGTGTGCAGCTGGCACGTCCAGCCCCGGGGAGTGCTGTGCGCGAGTGCTCCGTGCAAGGCTGGGGTCGGCCCGTAGACAGGCCTGCTGCCCACGCCCTCCGTCCTTCCCAACGGCTGGAAGGCAGACAGGATGGCAGGAGCCGGGTGGCCACGCCGGGCTGGGCGCTGGAGGCCCCACGGAAGCTGCCAGAGCAACAGGATAGGGCGCTGGGGCCAAGCGTGCGGAGCTCCTCGGGCCTTGGCTCGCCACGCTCACACTGAAGCTGCGCACAGGAAGCCCAGGTCTACCTGCCGTCTGCGCCGCTTTACTGCGGCCTCACGGGAGCCCCCCCCACGTCTGATGGCCACTGCCTGCTTCTCAGGCCTGCGAGGCGCTGGTGCCTGCCTGCCATTCCCACCTTCCCACCACCAGGGCAGGAGTGGGGACCCGAGGGGCTGGGCCTGGGGCTTGTGGAGGGACCTGGGAGGGCGTCTCAGCTTGGAGGTTCCAAGTGCGTCACACACACTTCATCACACTTTCAAGAGCAACTCACTCCGATGATGCTCGTTTGACGTGATGACAAAGGAGCTATCTTACCCTGCTTCAGCACCTGGACCTCTTCTTCACACCATCCCAGGCCGGTCTGGGCTCTGAGGGCCTGCACACCGCAGAGGTTCAGGGCACGCGGGCGCCAGGAGTCACGCCCTGAGGTCAGACCCCAGGACGCTGCCCCAAGCCCACATTCCTGCAAGTTCCTGTTAGCTGTGAAGGGGCGTGAGGTGACAGTAGGGGACAGGAACATTGAGAGGCCGCGGAGTGCTAATGCTGGCCCCTGGGGGGCCCTCCGTTCATGCAGATGAGCCTCAGCCGGGCCTCCCCTACAGATGAGCCCATTCAAGAGCTCCCCTGGCAGGGGCTGTTCAGGAAAGCAACCTGAATTCTACATGAGGGTCAATTTAGGGTTTCACCCCTGGAGTCTGAGGAAAGGAAGTCATCTCATTTGGGTGCCGGGGGTCTGTGGGGAGGAGGCCTCTCCCTTCCCCACCAACTCACAGGAGGGGCGGATGCCAGGGGGCAGGCTTCGGGCCCTGGCTGGCGGGGCGAAATCCAAGTCGGCCCGTGCCTTATGTCCCAAGACCGGTCTCAGCACCCAAGGGAAGCAATATCTTTCTCAGCTCTTTTATTAAATTAGAAACAGGAGGGAACACGACTTGGGGGAAGCACCACTGCAAGGCCTGTTGTGCTATGTGACAAGTGTGCTTAACTCACCTCGGCCATCCAGAAGCCCCAGGGCCTCCAGGCGAGCAGCTTCCTTCACCGCCCACAGCCCCGGCCACCCTGGCCTCACCATCTCCCAGACCAGAGCCCCAGGGTTTGGGGGGCTGAGACTGTGCTCTCGGAGCCCAGGAGGCCAGCCTCTGTTACGGAGGGGTCTGCAGCCTCCAAGGGACCTGGAAATGCACAATCTGCTTCCAGCTTTTTCCCAAGTGGCAGCCAATGCCCTGGGGCTGGTGCTCATGGAGGGGCATGAGCCCCTTTTGGGCCCTCCCCAAAAGTTGCCCATAGGACCAGTGGCAGCAGGGAGGTCCTGTGAGGGGGCAGGGCGAAATTATGGGCAGCAACTCATTTGTGATGCAGCCCCATCGACAGTGCAGCCCGCTCTGGTGCCCAGTCCTGAACCAGCCAAGCAGCACCGAGCAAATGGCAGGCAGCTGGTAGGTGGCCAGAGAAGCCACAGGCTTGGCCCAGGCCCTTTCCCCCTCCAGTGGCACCCAGGGGTGGCAAGGGCTGGCCTGCAAACCCTAATACTAGGTGTGAGATGACCCATCCAGAACCGCAGATATTGGGGACAGACTGAGGAGGGACCCAATGACTCGGGAGGTGGAGAAATGAGCCAAGAATCGGCAGTTCTCCTGGGGACCATTCTTATTTTTGGAGCTCAGTGAGCAAACAAACACAGGCCAGCTGGAAGGCCCAGACTCAGAGGACAGCTGGTGCTGGTTGGGGGCCCGGTCACGGGCCTGGCTGCTGTTCTCTACGCCGAGGCGGCTGGTCTTGGTAGGATCCAGAGTGGATGCCCTGGTGTAACCCAACCCTGAGGTCGCCAGCTCCTCTCTGCTCCTAGTCTTGGGGGGCAAGGCCATATCCTGAGGGTAGTATGGCCCTGTCAGGAGATGGGGTCACTGCCACGTCTTGGGGTGGGCTGAGGAGAGGCGGGCTCTGAGGACATGGGGGGCCCTGAGTCCTGCTGAGACAGGGCACGAGTGTCCATCTGCCCCTGGGCACAGCTGGTCTGATGGAGAGGTGGTGAGAGCAAGGCCCGACTCTGGGGAGGGACCCACATATTTCCTCTTTCACGCTGAGGCTCTTGGTGTCGTTTGCTAATGAAGTCTTGTGGGTGCCACTGAGGTCACCTGATGGGTTTCCACCCCGGATACAAGTGTCCTCGATTTTCTCCTGGGCAACTCGTGTGCTGTCCTGGTGGACCCCGTTTCCCCGAGGCCCGAGACACCCTCTGTTGTGTGACATTATGATCACCAGGGGGAGGCAGTGAGGCCAAGGCTGTGCTGTTGGTGCCACGAGACCCCAAGGCAGCCCAGGACCGCCACCCTAACCTACCCAGGCCTCCCAGCCCCTGAACAGGACTTGCTTGATCAGGCCACCTCAACACTCTGCAGCTGTGTCTTCTCTCCGGCCAAGCGAGTCCTGTGTCATCCGCGCCCCTCTGGAAGGTCCTCTCCCCTCCAAGCCACTGCAAAGCAGGCACACAGGGCACTCGAGACAGCTTTTCCTCTCTTGTCTGAAGCTCAGAACAGCCCCCCCGAGACTGCTGCTCCCAGAGCTGGGGGTGGGAGGGCGCAGCTCCGGGGCCAGGCTGAGCTTCCTGCGGCAGCAGACGGGGTCAGGGCCACTCTGGGACAGTAGGGCTGCAGCCGTGGGTGGGGAGAGACACGCAGAGTCTGCAGAGGAGAGGGAGGGAGAGCATGAGTCACGTCCACACAGCTCTGTCCTAACCTGGAACAAAGTGATAACCAAGGGGCCACATGTAAGGGGCTGGAACTCAGGCCCCGAGAGCAGAAGGCCTGGGCAGGAGGATGCAGCTCTGCCATGACCAGCACTGCAGCCGGGGCAGTTCAGCCATTTCCCTGGGCCCTGGTCGCCTCACCTAGAACGGGGCAATGGCCACCTGTCCATTTGGCTACTCTGGCTCCGCACCCTGAGCACCTGCAACCCAGCAGACACCATGCCTGGCTCTAGGAAGACAGGAGGGCGGGCGGACACCGCTACGGTCCCCGGGACCAGCCCCCAAGGGAGACATGTACCAATAAATGCATACAGTACTCACACAGTGACAGAAGGGCTGGATGGGAAAAACAAAAAAAGGAGAGAGAGAGACCAGGCTTTTATTTTGGTGGAGGCTATGGGAAGGTGGTAGTATTTAACCTGAGGCCTGAAGGGGGCACAGGAGTTTGCCAGAGGAGGCAACAACAGCCCAGGCAAGAGGAAGGGCACGGGCAGAGGCCCGAAGGTGGGATGTGAGCACGTCTAAAAATGTAAGCTGAGGCCAGTGAGGTCGAAGCAGGGTGGGGGAGGCCTGGGCAGAGAGCAGGGACGCAGGCAGGGGCGCATCAGCCAGGCGGTCAGAAGACTGCTCGTCTGTGTCCTCCATAGATATTTATGGGCCCTGACCCAGGCGATGGGGGCCGACGGTGGTGCACAGGGAGCACAGGCCCCCAGGGTCACCAAACTCATACTGCAGCCGGGCTTCTCATTCAACACAGCATCTGCCCTCTCTGAGCCTCATGTTTTCCAGTGGAAGAGGAGGCGATGGATCTCTGCCTCCCAGGGAGGAGAGAACCGGGTGGTTTGATGCTCAGGAGAGGTTTTGCATAGAATGTCCTTGGAGCAATTGAGGTAACCCAACTGGGCCAGCGTGGTCAATGTGAAAGGCCGACCCACTGCACAGCTCAGCACAGCCCTGCCTGACTCCACGTGGAGATGAGGCTGTGGGCGTGTGTCAGGGTGTGACACCCTCGGCTGGAGCCCCGAGGACAAAGGAAGGGGCACCGGAAGGGCTTAGCTGGGCAGGGAAGAGGAAGCGCTCAGCACAGCACGGCAGGAGCTGTCCTCTCAGGCTCCGCAGGCAGCTGAACCCCACCCAGTGGGGCAGCATTTTAAGAAGAGGTTCTCTGGAGTCCCATGGGAAGGGCGCCGGGAGCTCACCCAGAAGATTTCCAGGCACCTGCTGATCCACGCACCAGTTCAGGCCAGAAGGCACACTTATCAGGCCAGGGCTCAGAGGTGGCCCTGCCTGAGGAGGCACATTTGTGCCAGGGGACATGGACAATGTCCCTCCAGCATGCTGAGCTGCCCGAAGGAGTCTCACGGGAGCTCCGGAAAGGCAGAGAAGCCAGCCTTGGCACGGGCAGGTGGAGCTCTCCAGGAAACCTGCACACCGGCCAAGAAGCAAAGAGGCAAGGCCATCTCTGCAGGACATCAATGAATGATGACACCATTTTTGGTTTTACAGCTTTGGTCAGATTTACCCTGCACACTTGTGTCTGCTATACGACACCTACACACATAGCTCTACGTTTAGAGCTACTTGTAAGTCTGCATGCATTTAAGTAACATTTAAAAATTCAAGCCAGCAATGGAATCTGTAGGACTTTTTTCCTTCTGAGTAGGGCATGGCCCTGGCTCCCTCACTGCCAAGGCTTCTGGAAGATTGGCCTGAACACTGCGGGAAGTGCCCAGGGGGTCAGCAACCCTCTGATGCTGGGCTGGGGTGGGTGAAGGCCCCTCCCAAGTGAGAACCTGGGTCATGAAGCCCCTAACATCCCAAGATGCTCTAGAGTGGCAAATCCAAACCTCTGGGGCCTGTCCCTGCTCCATACCTTCGGCAGATGAGGGGTTCCCCCTGAGGCAAGGCCCACTGCTGCCCCCCAACCAAACTTCAAGGCTACCCATGCCAAAGGTGAGGGGCTGTGGGACCCTGACCCAGGGAGTGGTCCCCTTGGGCCATCCCGAGTTGCTAAAGAGGAGACAGCACCTAAAGGCACACCTAGGGTAGAGGAATTGGGGAACACACTGCCCAGCTCCTGAACTCCCCCTGCTCAGCCCACAGCTGTCCCAATCTGGGCCACCCCAATTTTGGGCAGGTGCTTCTCTGAGGCCTGGTCTCCTCGTCTGTGAGATGGGACACTCCACCTTGCAGGTGTGGGGTCAGTGGTCACCCCGCACTGCCCATGCAGCTGGCCTGGCAACCCCTCCTACAGCTCTGACAATCCTGGGAGTTGTTGGTGAGGTGTCTGCTCCGCTGGACTGCAGCAAGGGAGGGTGGCTAGCATCCTGATCCCAGGGCTGGCATGGGGCCAACCCCGGGGAAACCTGCTGAGTGCAAGACTGTGGGTGCAGGGACAGACAGATGGACCTGGGGTGTTTCAGAAGGCCCGAACTCCTGCCCGGGCACCTTTCTCACGACACCAGGCCCATCCGAGTGGATCTGTGCTCTGGTATTTCCTCTCAGTGGCAATTTCTTTTAAGGCAGGATAGAATGTGCTGAGTCGCCCCTCCTGTGGCAGTGACCGAGCCCCTTGCAGGGCCCCATCGGGGAATAATGGGCTCAGTCTTTCCCAGAGCTGGGATTGGAGGCCCCTCCACCCCCACACCCCAAGTGGCTGGGTCCCAACAATGACTGTGGGGAGATGAGCTCCTGGTGGCCTGGACACTTGCCCGGCACGCTGGTGGGGGTCAGGGGAAGAGAGATGAGGGCGCTATGTCTTTAAAGGGTTTGGTGGGGGCAGGGAGACCCAGTGGGAGAGAAAAAGAGAAAAGAACATTCATGGCTAGTCTATACTTGGCGGGTAACCCAGGGTAACCCAGACCCTGCTCCAGGGGCCTCCCAGCTGCCACTGGCTGCTGTCGCCCAGATACGTGGTTCTGGCAGTGACACTGGGGCTCAGAGGTGGTCCTGGAGCTCCAGCTGGCATTAAGCTTCCCACACAGCAATTCAGCCCTACACAGCTGGGTGGCCACCGGTGCTGGTCCCATGCTTGGTGCCAGGGTGCAGACGTGAGGATCCCCCGGCTCTCCAGACGCCCGCAAGCCTGGGGCATGTCTGGGGCTCAAATCCCACTCCAACTCTTACTAGCTATTCACCTGATGCCAACAACCTATCCTCTGTCTTAACTGCCACCTTTGCAGCTATGACATCTATGACAATGCGTTCTGAAAAGTAAAGGAAATCATGACTAGAGCGCTCACTGTAGACGCAGGCACCCACCAGAACTCAAGGCCGGTAGCCCAAACAGGGCAATGAAGTCCTGGGGGAAACCAAGGGGACATCATCTGGGGTGATCCTGAGGGGCTGCAGAGTGCAGGCAACCTCTGGTTGGTGGCTCTGTAAGTCAGAGTCTCACAGGATGGACAAGGGGTCAGGGGACAGCAGGACCCTCCAGGCACAGAGGAGGAAGGCCCCCAAACTGGGTCTTACCCTGCTCCCTGCAGGAGGGTCTGGGACGGCAGGCACGGGGAAGTGAATCTGGGGATACAGGGCCCGTCCTCTGGCCCCGGCACTGGGCCGGGGGACTCCCGGCTGGTAGCCAGCCTCAGTGGGAAGTGTCATGGTCAACTGGGGTGCCCATGGCAGGTGGAAGGGGAGGCACCAGGCACGCTATGCCTCTGCTCTTCCTGACCTTTCCTTGCAGAGGGCACTCGGCCTGGGCTCCTCCTGCACTTCGTTCAGGCGCCACGGCTCAGCATCCCCCACTGCTGTCCCAGTCCCCCCTCCCACTCCCTCCATCAGCCACCCCTGACTCAGGGCCCCCCTCCAGCCTGGTCCTGCAGCACTGTACCTTCCTGCCACTCCACCCCACTTCCTGGGGAGCCAAGGGAGGGTCAGGAACATCCGGGGGCATCAGCTTCCTGCCCCAGTGCTGTGTCACAGGCCCCTTCCCAGAAAGCCAAGGTATGCCCCAGCCTTTGAAGAGATCTAGAGAACTCCAAGTCATCCCAGCATCCCAAGCAGGCAAAGCTGGAGGGAAGCAGGGCTATGCAGAGCGTGGGAAGAACCCCTGGTCAATCTGTGGGATGGAGCCATGGGAGCGGCAGTTTCTCAGGGCTGAGAGGGGGGCTGCTTGGCTGCGGGGGGTTCACGAGAAGGAAAGGGCTGCAGGATGCCTGGGTGGCTCAGTGGTTGAGTGTCTGCCTTTGGCTCAGGTTGTGATCCCAGGGTCCTGGGATCAGGTCCTGGGACCACGACTTACAGACAAGTCCTGTATCAGGCTTCCCATAGGGAGCTTGCTTCTCCCTCTGCCTATGTCTCTGCCTCGCTTATGAATAAATAAAATCTTAAAAAAAAAAAAAAAGAAGAAGAAGAAGGAAAAGCCTGGGATACAGGGCAAGAGCTGAAGGACCCTCTGCCTCTGTTGCAGATGGTGCTGACGGAAGAGCTTGGGAAACCTGTGGCCGGGAGATGCTCACACACTCCTGTGCTGGCCTGGCTCTGGGAGGGCAGGGCCCAGGCATGCTTGCCAGCGGCATGCAGGACAGGCTCTGTCATGTGCAATTAGCCTCTTTGCACCTGCTTCCTCCTCCCAGAAGTGGGGCTGACAACATCACCCCCACGGTGGACTGGGCCGAGCTAAAGGGATAAGGCCCTGGCAGTACTCAGATGGGCACACGTCATGTCTGACTGGGCGAAAGACCCTTTGAGAAGGAGGAGCTGGCCCAGGGACATGGAGAGGCTCCCAGCACTTAAGGCATCCAAAGCCATCATAGTCACCATACTTTGGCATCACCACCTGGTATAGCAGCGACTCTGGGGGCGCCTGGGTGGCTCAGTTGGTCTGGTGTCTGTCTTCGGCTTAGGTCACAATCTCCGCGTCCTGGGATCGAGCCCTGCTTTGGGCTCCTTGGTCAGCAGTGTATCTGCTTCTGATTCTTGCTCTCTCTCTGCCCCTCCACCTCACTCATTCTCTTTCTCTCAAATAAATAAAAAATCTTAAAAAAAAAAAATCCAACTCTGAACCTACCCCTCCCTTGACCTATATAAGTAGTGGGAGTAATAGAGTTGTTGCTTCTGTATTCAAGATGGCAAGGCTCAGCTTAGGTGATGTGGTTCCACATAATGAGGGTCAAGCAGCCAGTGAGAGCCAGAACCAAGGAGAGATGTGAGCTTCGCTCCCCCCACTCCTCCCCGTGCCTGGAATGGGGAATATCCCTAGAAAGGTACAGGGCTTATGAGGCCTGCTGGCTTGCCCCCACCCCCTCCCACATGGGGTCAAACTACTGTCCAGGGTCATGGGGAAGGGTGAGCACCAGTAGGAGGAGCCCTCGGGCCCCACAAAGGACCACCCCAGCGCGAGGGAACAGGGAAGCCACATGGACGTGCCATTCTCCTCTTATAGCTTCTAGCCCAGGGGACCAACCACTTGGGCTACTTAGATTTTTCTCCCAAAGGAGAGAGCAGATTAAAACAAAGCAGGGCAACCTCAGAAGGGGACAAAGCCCCCTCCTGTCTAGATGGGCTTTCAGGAGCCCGAACACTCCAGACGTAGGAGGGAATGTGGCTTGGGCCAGCCTCGTGGGCTGGTACGTTCCAGTCAGGACCTCGAAGGCCCGGCCGACCTGGATCTCCGGGCTAGAGCAGGTGCTTTGCGTGGAGGGGCAGTCCCAGCTCAGTCTGACCTCTCTGCTGTGAAGAGACTACTGCACGCGCGCCAGCAGCCACCGCGGCAGGGAGGCAATCAGGTATTTGGTCCAGGCTGGTGCCTGGGGGGTTTCTGTGCCTGGCCTGAGGGCCAGTTTCTCAGAGCTGTGGCTGCTGACCTGCCCTCCCGGGTGGCAAGGCTATCCTGCATGGCCTCTTCTTGGGCTGGAGGCAGAGCCTGGGATCCGTCACCCCATGCCCCAGCTTCTCAGAGCCTCTGGGGCCTATGTCTCCCTGCCTCCCACTCACCCTGGGGTCCCCAGAACTCAGTCCTAAGGGCTGAGGACCTGCTGCCCTTGCCCCAGGTATGAGGGGCCCAGGAGAAGGGCTCAGGGTTAGGACATCCTGGCTTCCCTAGGGCCTGACCCAGTGTGGTGGCACAAGAACACAAACCCTTCCCTGGTGCCTACAAATCTACCATCCCTTTCCAGCCCCTACTCCCAAGCTCCCTGCCAGGCTGGCTCAGTACTGGAGTTGGTCCTGCCCCAGAGGGGCTGCAAGAGAGGCCCCACCCCACCCCTCAGAAGAGGCCTGTCCAGGTAAGCTGGTCCTTCCCTTCACCTGACTCTGCACCTGCCCTCAGGCCTTGGGCAAGTCCCTTCTGTGTCTCCCCATCCCTCAATTACCCCAAAGAGCACCTGACTGTGTCCCTCAGCTCCTTGTCATCCACTTTGGGTAAGGACCTCACATAACTGCAGGAGCAGTAACTTGGGCAGTACTCTGCAGCAGGCCCTGCCTGGCCAGGGTTCCCTACTGTGACACTCGCTCTAAGGGAGACCCACTAACTAACCCCATTGCCTCCACGGGGTGCCCGGCCCCACAGCTCTAGCATGCCCCTTGCCCCTTAAGTGCTCCCGTCCATCATCCTTATTTCTCAGGGACCCTGGGTTGCTGCTTGCATGCTGGATGCACACTGGGACTCACCTGGAACTGTGGAAGCCCTGGCTCACCTGGTCTGGGGTGTGGCATGTGCTTCAGCATTTGTATTGTAAAGAAATCTGGCCTTTGCCCTTGACTTTGGGACATGATCAGTTGTACCCAATAGACTGTCCTTGTTCAGGGCAGGGGTGAGGTTGGGCATATCCATGTGACTTAGGGTAGGGGCTTTGGGTCATGTGGTACCAGGGGACCCAGAGATGAAGAGTAACCCCAATGGGCAATCAAGCTCCGGTAAAAACTCTGGATACCAGAGCTTGTGTAGCATCCCCGGTGGGCAATATCCCGTGTGTACGGCCACTCACTGAGGTAGGTGCAGTAACGCTGTCCTGAACACACGGAGAGGCCTCTGCCCCACTCGTCCCTGTCTGTGGCTGATCTTAACCTATATCCTTCCCTGTAGCAGACCAGGACCGTGAACATAACAGCCTGCAGTGTATTCTGAGTCTTTCCAGTGAATGCTCGAATCTGAGAGTGATTTTGGGAAGCCCTAAGCTGCCGCTGTCAGACGTGAGGATGCTCTTGTGTAGAGATGGCCCTTAGACTCGGCCGACTAGCCTAAACGCCACGCAGTAATTGTCAAAAGATCCCTGGTGATTGTGAGGTGCAGCCACGCCTGGGAAGCACTGCACTGCCCTGAGGTGGTGGTCCCTATCTGGCAGAAGGCTTATATGCTTTGCTCAAGGTTAACTGCAAGTAAGGAGCAGAGCTACACTTTAGCTCCAGACCTGGAAGAGGCTCCCAGAGCCCCTGGCCACTTGCTGCCCCAACCAGCCTTCCCTGGAGGACATGGCGACCCTGACCCAGGGTGGGAGCAGGCCCCGGGGTGTTGGGGACTCACCTGGCTGGGCTCTGCAGGTGCTCCTCACGAGGGCAGGTGCTTCCAGGTGCTGACAAAGGCAGTGGGGATGAGCGAGTAGGGCACGGTGGTGATGCAGTTCCACGTGTCCGAAGTGGGGTCATAGCAGTCCAGGGTCTTACACCTCTGGGTCCCAAAGTAGCCCCCCACCACGTAGAGCTTGTTGCCCGAGGCCAGGGCGTGGCAGGACATGCGTTTGGCGGTCATGTCCCCGATCCGCGTCCACTGGTTGGTCTCACAGTCAAAGCGGTAGGCTGAGGCAGCTGTGAACTCCGTGTCCCCTCCCATGATGAAGATCTGGCTGCCCAGCACGGCGGCTGCCGTGTACCGCCAAGGCTGGGGGCACTCGGCCTTGATGGTCCACCGGTTCTCCGAGGGGTCATAGCACTGGACTTTGGACACCATGTCTCGGTGGATGCTGGTCCCTCCAAAAACAAAGAGCTTCAGCTTGGCACTCACCACTGCGGCATTGCTGACGCCATCCCTCAATGGGGCCACCATTGTCCACTTGTTAGCCCCGGGGTCATACTTTTCCACCTGCTTCAGGGAGACCGAAGGGGAGGCCGGGAAGACGCCTGCCAGGGATGTGTGTCCTCCAACCACGTAGAGGCAGTTCTCCAGCTCAGCCGAGCCGTGACCAAAGCGGGCGATCAGCATGGGTGCCGCCTTGGACCACTCCTCGTGGACGGTGTCATATACCCACACGTCCTTAGAGACTCCGTTCTCGGAGCCCCGGCCCCCAGTCACATAGACCTTGCAGCCGATCGCTGAGGCGCTAAACTCTTTGCGGGGGCTGGGCAGGTCCGCCTTTGGGATGATCTCCTTGGCCTTGTGGTCCACCTGGTAGATCTTGTCGCACATGAAGGTCTGGCCCCCCAGGATCAGCAGCGTGTGGCCTGCCTTGCGTGGCCGGGCGCAGGGGCTGGTGACCACTCCATCGTTCTGCAGGATCTTGGTCTTGCATCGGAGCGCCTCGTCTATGATAAGCCTGGTGCGCTCATCAGCCATGAGGAGGGCCTCGCCGGAGACGGCCTCCTTCAGGCAGTCAGAGGGCAGCAGGGCCAGCCGCACGCTGCGGAGGAGCTCGGGCAGGTGGGCCTTTCTCTGCTCTAGGTCGTGCTTCACCCATTGCAGGATGGCCTCAAAGACCACGCGCTCGTCCTCTGTCTCCAGCTCGTCACTGGAGATGAGGTCCAGCAGGGTGTCCTTGGACAGGCTGTTGAAGTCCTCGCTCTGCCGCACTGTCTCGAAGTGCACCAGGCACATGCGCCAGGAGAACTCGTACAGCCGGCGGCACTGGTGCGCGTCCGACAGCAGCATCATGCCCAGGCAGTTGGAGGGGAAGAGGTTCTTCTCCAGGAACTCGGCAGCGGCGTCCCGCACATCGTGGAACTGCAGCATGTCGCCCGCCTCCAGGAGCGACTCTGCGTTCTCCTCGTTGATGACGATGCGGGATGAGTAGGCGAAGTCCAGCAGCAGCTCCAGCACCTCGGGGTGCAGGTTGTCCTGGAAGTTGACCGTGTCATCTCGGCTCTCCCGCAGCCCGTGGCTGAACATGGCCTCGAAGTAGCGGCTGGACGCGGCCAGCACGGCGCGGTGGCAGGGGAAGGCGCGGTCCCCCGCCCAGAGTGTGACGTCGGTGAACATGCGGTGCTTGCGCAGCGTGTTCAGGTGGGCCAGCACGCAGTCGGGGTGGGAGGCTTTGTGGAAGAGGGTGATGTTCATGGACCCCGTGCTGCTCCGCGACTTCCGGGTCTCGTGGACGCTGACCGACATGCTGAGCCGACCTGCCAGGGGACAAGGCCACAGGTGAGAGGGGCCGGGCCCCAGCTCCCTGTACAGCTGGGCCCTGGCCCCGCTGCAGCTCACCCTCCAGCCCCTCCTCTCTCCGCTCTGCCGCTCCCCTCAGCCAGGGACGGTGCGGGTGGGAGGGGTTGGTTTTACCCTGCCCTTCGGAAACGGATTTTGTTGATTTCGGAGCAGCTTTGGAACCAAACATCTTTGGCCTGGAAATGAGCCACCTCTGGGTGAGTTTGAGCTGCGGTTGCCTCCCATGGTCAAGGGAGGATGTATATGGTGGCCTCAGGCCATTAAGTGGATGTCAGGTCAGAGCAGGGCTAAATAGCATGTGCCCTGGGACACATCCCACTCTCAGGCTGTCCTCTGGGGACACGGCTCTCATGGCCTGATTCTCCAGCTGGGGAAGCCAAGGCTCAGAGAAGCCAAGTGGCCGTCCCAAGTGCTAGAGCCAGGACTCCCACATGGGCTATCCAGTTCCAAGCCCAAGCTCTACTCTCTGTGGGCCCAAGGAGATGGGACTCTTTCAGGGTTCTCTGTGGCAGGCTGGAAACAATGAGCCCAAGAGCCGCAGACCGCAGGCAGAGCCTTAAGTCCTCCCTCCCCCTGCTCCCAGTGGGACCTGTCTTGAGCTGGGCTCCAAGCAGCACTGGCCAAAATCCCTCCTCTCCCTCACCCTTGGGAAATTCCTAAGAGCCTCCGCTACAGCCCAGGGGCTCAGTGTAGACCTGTTCTCCAAATCCAGGGTCTTTCAAGGCCTCCTGACCCAGTGGAGATGAGCACGGGTTGGAGGCAAAGATGGCTGAGTGGCTCAGCTAAAAGGCACCTGCTCAATTCTGTTTGATCCCAAACAAGAAAGCCACAAGAAAGGCCCAAGAGACAGTAAGACATGCCAACCAGTAACGTGGACCAGATTTGCCTTTGGCTGAAGCCTCTGGAAAGCCCACAACCAAAGGAGCTTCTTTAGTCCCTACAGGTGACTCTAGGATCCTAGGCCTAGGTGACAGTGGTCACCTCACCTGCCTCCCTCCTTTGTCCTTCTTTGCCAGGCCAGGACTCGGGGCTCAAAGGGCTGCTCTGTGTAGGCAGACACAGTCCTGTCACACAGTTGAATTTGGGGGATTCCAAGGCACTTTAATTCAAGTCCAAGTGATGGTATGACCCTGATGCACTGCAGTGCTGTGGAAGCCTGGCTCAGAATATGGGCAGGCAAAATTGTATGTCTTGAGCAAAAGTGGTCCCAAAGCACCCTCAAGAGCCTGTGCTCCCTTCTTCCTGCTGGTAATGAGCCCCTCCCCAAAAGAAACCCCAAATCTCTTTTTCCTTTTAAATTTTCAAAAGTCTACGATTACCCCACCCCCACTCCAAGTCAATTTTCTGCTTAAGTAATAATCTGGTAAAGGAAGGAAGCGATTTCATGCTTCAGTGAAATTGTAAATTAGCATCCAAGTACATTGCTGTCTCTCTCACTCACTCCTCCCCTGGCAAAGAACCAGAGAAACCACAAACTGACGTGATCTGAGCTGCCCGGGCAAGGCCCCTGCTCCTGGGCCTGGGCAGGAAAGGCACAGGGGCTGGGTCTGGCCCTGCTGCTCCAGGCCCCCAAACTCCAGGCGGCTGGCCTACCAGGGATGCTGCTATATACACCTGCCCCTGCAGGCCACAAGGTCAAGGTTATGAGGTTAGTCTACGGGGGTGGGAGCAGTGCCCGGCAAGAGCGTAAGAGAGCTGGGTCCAGGTCCAGGCTGGACAGGTGGTCCCCATTCAACCACTGCCCTGGGGCACCTCTCCCTTGAACCCCTGTTTTTTCTTCCGTGAAACAAAGTCCCTGTCCTGCTGGGATCTCAGAGTCACTTGGTTGTTGGCAGTTATTTACAGAACCTGCCCTCTGAGCCTGGCCCTGGGACCAGGTAGCCCAGAGACTGAGAAGCGGCAGTGGCATAGCCCACAGAAGCTTTACCAGCAGTTCTGTACTCTGAATTCCAGACACCACAACACGTTTTTCCTAATCTTGCTCACAGACCCTTTCCCAAATGTGGCCATTAATCGAGTGACTCCATCCCTCTTGTCCCCACTGTGCCTGGGCCGAACAGGAGCTATGGCCTCTGACCTGTGCACCCACTGAGGGCAGGGCTCCAAGGACTCCAATCCAGAGAGCCAGGTGGAGACTCTATGGAAGGAGTTAAGGGCAGGACAAAGCATGACTCAAAGAATGAGAAAGTGTCAAAAAGCAGGGCAAATGCCAGCAGAGCAGCCACGTCTGCCCTGAGAATGAGGTTAAGGGGTGCGCTCTCCAAAGCCAATGCTGAGTGAGCAGCCCAGGCTCCAGAGCTGACTGACCTCTTGCTCAGCACCAAGATGCCTGACTGCTGATCCAAATTCCCTGCACAGGAGAAGAGCCAGAGATGGGCACACACCCCAACAGGTTCCCACCCCCAGAGAGCTGCCTGTCCGGGCACCTCCGTGCCCAGAGCAGAGGCACCTGCCTGGCTGTTTCCCCAGACTGTCCCACCTCCTTCTGGGCAGTGCCTCGCTCTGAACCAATCTCCTGGGGACAGCAGCCATCACTCCTGCACTGGCTTGCCCCGGACCCTGAGGCGAGGTGATTGTGTCCCAGAAACATCATGACTCCAGGAGGTGCAGGTCTCATCACCCCAGTTTACAGATGAGGACGCAGAGGCCCAGACACAGGAAGGGAATCACAAGAGATGTGAATCTCTGGCCAGGCCCGTAGGTTCCCAGGGCTGCATTTCAGCTCTGGCCTGGCCAGCATGGGAGGACAGGTCTCAGAATCAGTGGCTTGCATGCTACACGCCCTGTGGTGGGCTCATCTCAACCACAACACATCTGGAAGCTGGTCACCTCAACCATAACGTGTCCAGGAGAATTGCTCAGCATTGCCTCCAAATCTGCTGCTCTCCAGCCCAGGAAAATGAGCAATGACACCAACATGCTCCTCCTTATTTAGACCCAATCTCCAGGCTCTCCCCAGCACCCCTCACCAGAACGCCCTCTGCAGTCCTGTGGCTCTGCCTCTTAAATGAGTCCTGGGTCTGATCCTTCTCCCTGCCTCTGTTCCTCCCTGGACAACTAGAAACGCCCCACCCGGTTCTGCTTCTGCTCTCCATGATGCTCCTGATCTGTGCTATGTTTGCACACCACAGGGATCCAAAAGCATCACCTGGATCCCATCATGCCAAGTCACAACCCACCAGGGGCATCCCAGCACCCTCAGGGAAATCCCAAGTTGTCCCTGTAGCCGCTAGGCTGCACATGAGTTGACCCCTCCTCACTGACTGTCCTCTGTCTTCACCTCCTGTTACTTCCCACCCTACTCACGCCTTCAGGCCACAGTGGACTTCTTATTGGGCCTCAGGACCTTTTCACATGCTGCTCCTCTGGCATGTCATTTTTCTGCATGGCTTGCTCTGTCTCCTTCTCAGAGAGTAAGTGACTTGACTGACCACCCTGTTGAGGTCACCTCCTCTCCACCCCTCACCCACTTCTTCCTTCCTCACAGTACCCATTGCTACATAACATTATGCACTTGTCTTCTGTCTCCCCAACCTGCTAAAGGTGGGGACCATGTGTGGGCTAACTGATGTGACTCCAATACCCAGCAGGACCGGACACAGAGCAGCCACCTGATCTGACTGAATGAACCCACTGGTCCCTGCCTCTGCTCATGAGGAAGCCCGGAAACTCACTTCCCCTGACGTCTACTGGGGTGCTCATTCAGCCACTCTGCAGACCGAAAGAGGATGAAGGCTGGGACAGTGGAGGCTGTCGGGGGGGGGGGGGGCACAACAAAGGATGTGTGCGGGGAACATGCTGCTTCCAGTCAGCATGGACACCCTGACTGCTGCCAGAACCACCCTCCTCTGGGCACTCAAGACTGGCTGGCCGAAGTGGCACATCACTGAGCCCTGGGGCTGCCTGCATGCCAGGCCTGGCCAATCAGAGTGCCATCTTCCCAGCCACTACAACGGGCCAAGGAGATGCTAGTCGGTGACATTTACTGGAATTGCAGAGAATGAAGCAGATGCTGAAGGACAGGAGCAGGGCAGGGGCAAGACGGGATGGTGGCCACACTGCCCAAGACAGGAGCTGCACAGAGGATGCACAGCGGCACCCCTCGTCCTTGTCCAGCTTGAAGCCGGCCTGCCTTTCCCCTTCCTTTTTGTCTGACAGATGTTTTTTGTCACTTGCCATCTAGAGTCCCAACCAGTACAAGCACTAAACATCAGTTCCCTGGATCAGTGATCAGGGGCTGCTCTCCTTGCTAAGGGGTCTTCACTGTGTGAGTCCCTCTGCCCTTTCCACCTGCAGGAAGGCCACCTCAGACAACAGAGAACGGGTTTCAGGAGATCCTTTTCCGTGTTTTTTATTATTATTATTATTATTATTTATATTTATTTATTTATTTATTATATGATAGTCACAGAGAGAGAGAGAGAGAGAGAGGCAGAGACACAGGCAGAGGGAGAAGCAGGCTCCATGCACCGGGAGCCCGATGTGGGATTCGATCCCGGGTCTCCAGGATCGCGCCCTGGGCCAAAGGCAGGCGCCAAACCCCTGCGCCACCCAGGGATCCCCCTTTTCCGTGTTTACCACCAGTTACACACACAGTCTTCTGCAGGGCAGGGGATACAGAGTGTGCAGGACGCAGGGTCCCGTTCAGTGGCAGGAGGGGTGAGCGTTCGAGAGCGTGTGTTCAAGGGCCGTCTCCTTGGCTCCCTGCCTTGGGGGCCACGATAAATCAGATGCTCTCATGCTTCATGTATCATAGAACTATTTAGATTACCTCAGCATCATCCTGGGCTTTGATGGATTTAAGGCCCATGATATAACAGCCATGCTCCAGAGTAGCAATGTATCATCCTGCTAAGAGGAATTGATCCGCCTCAGACAACACCTCCCTCCGTTCCCTATACTGCACTTCTCACCTGCACAGAAGCAGTGAAAAGGCACCAGATAACAACGTGCCCAG